CCCTCCCCCTTTCCCTTCCCTCTCCTTCCCCACCACCCCCCGCCCCTCGCTGGGCTCTAGCCTTAACCCCTGCTGGGCGGTGGCGAAAGCCAGCGCGGCTGCTGCCCTCTGCCCTTCCGCAGCCCAGCCAAGATGTCTCTCCAAGGCCCTCCCTTCCACCTCCGGCCTTGGACGTTGCGTCGCTCGACCGCCCTCGAGGTGCCCCTCGCCACCCCCCACACACACCCCCCCTGCATTCCCGGCAGAAGCATTAATGGGGGACCAGTGCACCCGGGGGGCACGCCCCTGCGCAATACACGCTCGCACCCTAGGGCATTTCTTTGCACAGTTGCTTGATGGATTGTGTTTGCTTCCTCTTCCAGAAAGTCGCTACGGCTGACCCCCACCCCACCCTTTCTCCGCTTGGGCTAACACCTGGTACTGAGATTCTCCAGGGGGAAGGGATGTTGTGGTCTGCCACCGGCGGCGGGGCTAGAGGTCAGGGGGCCCCTAGCCAGAATTTCAAGTCCCTGGGGGCAGGGCGCCCACCAGTCCTGCAAGCCTGCAGGCGCCAAGAATGTCCCCACTGCTGCCTCTGTCCCTTTAATTTCTTTTTCTCTCGGTCCTTTTCAGAAAGGGCTTGGCCAAGCAGCCGGCTGGACCGCAGATGTTTTCTTCCAGGTTCCTTGGGGCTTCCCAACTGTCGCCATTGCCCCCCTCCCCGCCCACTCTGGGCTGGGGCGGCTAGCATTTATTAAGCACCCTTTATATACCTCAGGTCGCCCAGGGCAGGAGAAGCTGGAGCCTCTGGCTCAGGGCCTATTAACGTTTAACAGGCTGGAAAAACCCTTTGCAGTGACCTTTCACCTTGGAGTCCCTTAGGTCCAGTGACCCAGTCTTATCACCCGTCCTACCCTGGGCCCAGAACAGGACACCCTGGACACCAGGGCACGTGTCTGGGCTCCTGAGGCTTGCAGGCTCTGCCCTCTGCCCTCTGCTGGCTACTATGGCCGCCTCTCTGAGGAAAGGATCTGGAATAAAGGCACCCCCTACCCCAGATGCATCTGAGGGGGCACCCTGTTGAAGACCAGGGGAGCCCAGACCTCAGCTGCTCAGAGATCATGTGACACTCCAGAGGCCACCAGGATTCCCAGAAAGCCTGACACAATACATTCTGGGCCCTAGGCCTTGGGCCCTTCTGCACGCAAGGGCTTAAAAGTACAGAAAGCAGGAAGGGCTAGTGTTAGACATGAGCAAGGACTTGCCAAAGGTTTGCTAAATTTGATTTCAGCCCTGTAAATCCTGCTGGGAAAGGGGGGACAGGGTGGTTAGAGAAGTTGTTTCATTTTGGAACCCCCTGGGTTGTGCCGGGGGCACTGTCTGGTTATTTGGGACAGGGGGGGATTTTAGGTCCCTAACCTGGACATTCTAGGATCCAGGGGAAGGGGTCTCTTTGAGAAGGAATCTAAAAGGGATTCCTTAGAGGGAAGAAAGGACTAGAAGCAATCTGTGGGGAGGAGTCTGGGACTGAGGTTTGAGGGTCAGGATTCTGGGAAGGGGTGCTCAGAAGTGAAGGTGTGGGATCAGGTTGAAGACCAGGGGATCCCAGAACCTCAAGTGGGTCCACCCCCTCTGTGCCTTGGTCATGGCCCTCCCTATCCGCACCCCTCGGGGCCCTGGTGGGGGGGGGGACAGACAGAGGCCTGGCCTCAGCCCCCTGACCCCTGCCCGCGGCCCCGCGGTGACATTTGACCTTGCAGCAGCCCCGGGCCAGGGACAAAGAGACCAGAGCCCATCTGCCGCGGGGGCACCCGTGGGAACGTCAGGCCCTGAAAAACTCGGCCTGGGAAACTGCCCCTGCCCTCCCCCTCCACCACCCCCGCCACCCCTGCTCAAGCAGCAAATTCAGCCTCACACCCCCTCATCTGGGGCCAACTCCTTCCCCTGCCCTCCAACAACAGGTGACCTTGTCTCCCTTTGACAAGGGCTCCGGCACAGGCAACCTGAGGACTGAGGGCTAAGGTCATTCTTGGGCTGGAAAACAGACTAGACAGCATAAGGACCCTTCTTCTGAAGGCACTATCCCACTACTAGGGGTGACCTTGCCCACCTCAGTTTCCCTGCTTTATTCAAAGTCTGCCACCATCCAAAGACAGTGCAATGGGTGGGGGGTCCCAGCACTAGCACTTGCCCACCTACGGAACCCTTTGGTCAGAAAGGCCAGGTCGCTGATTGGCAACTCACCTTACCCTCCCTGGCTGCTCCGCACACACCTGCACAGGTGCAGCCAGGAAAACCCCCCTCCCCACCACCAGGCTGGGACAAAAAACTTTCTAATCCCCATCTTTGGTTTCAGCTACTGCTGAAGAGGGGACAGCAGCCTACTAATCCTGGCTCTGCTGGGTGGCTCCCAGACTTAACCCCCTCCCCGCCCCCAACTTTTAGATCTGTCTGAACCCCAGTAGAGAGCTGGAAGGTGCAGTGGATTCAAATATAATGCTAATCAGTTGCCTGCTATTAATCTGAAACTAACACCTCCCCCAGGTGAAAGCCTGAGCCTTTCCTCCTGGGGAGCTCATTGCCCACTCCTGAGTTCCCGCTTGCAAGTTCCCAGAGGCCACCCACCAGAAGACTTCATCGAAGCTACTCATCCTTCCAGTGCAAGTTCTAAAGCCGCTGCCTAGGCTCCCCCTGGCGTGAACTCTTCAGTGAAAGCTCTATACCCCAAGCGGTTCTGGTCTGTCTGCCTTCTGGGATGCGGCATCTTCCTTTTGGAAGCACCTATCAAGACAAAGCCAGCATCTTCCTGGGAAGGTGGTCAGTGGGGAAAGAGGGCCTGTTCCCACGGGCCTCTCCCAGGGGTATGGAGACAGATGAGAGCTGGGACTTCAGCTCTGGCTGTGTCACCTCACTGACCCCTGAATCTCTCCAACACCCCAGATACTGCCCTCAAAGGCCAGACTGCCTCTGGCATGTCCACCTTCACAAGCCACACAGTGCCAGGTCAGAGACTCTGGATCCATCTCCAGTGCCTGGTCACCTCCCATCAGACACTCGGGTATCTCAGTCCCATCATGTCAAACATGCCTAAACACGCAAAGTCACACCACATGACACAGCATCACTCCAGGGTAGTTTATGACATGGCCTGCCACAACTGTGTAGCATGTTCTGACATGGCCAGGCACAGGACCTACAGGAAGGTCTCCCCTGACTGGGGAGGAAGGGGGGGTGACCTGGGCTTCCCCAGGGCCCTTGCAATCGCTTCTAAGCCTGCCAGCTCCTCTGCCTGTTGGGCCTCCATTAGCGCCACCTGCTGCTCCAGCTTCCTGCGTTGTTCCTCCTGCTTGCGATGTGCTCCCCGGAAGGCCAGGACCAAGGAGCTGGAGGAGGTAGGGGGCTTAGCCAGCAAACAGTTCCCCATCCCACCCACAGGAGCTATGTACTCCTAGCCCCAGACAGGAGCTATGTGAAACTGGGTCTTCCTAGAGTCCCACCACCAGGAACTGGGGATCACAGAAGGGGGGGCTCAGGAGGTGAGGGGGTGGGACAGATTAAACCATTGCCCACCTTACAGGGGGAATCTGCAGCCCAAAGAATGCCAGGTTGTTTCTGTAGTCACCAGCAGAGGTACAAGGGAGGGGACCCACCTGTGAGCCTTGCACAAGTCACTGTTCAACTCAGCACTCTGAGCACGTTTAGTTCGCCCCTTCTGAGCCACCTTTTCCAGCTCTTCCCGAAGAGACTGCAGCTGCTGCCACAGACTCCGAGCCCTAATGCAGGGATGGGGTACAGGGGCTCAGAACCACAGCCAGTCTGCCTGCCCTCTTTCTACCCACGTACCCTGGGTGTTCCTGTGTAAACACATCTGCACTCAGGTGTATACCCAGTCCTCCCATGTGGAATAGAACCCCACAGACTCACATATATCCCCCACCCCAAGTCATCCAACCCCGACCTGAGGTCTAAGCACACACCGGGTGAGAGATGCCGACAGCTCCTGGGCGAGCTCCTCTTGTTCCTTCACTTTGCTCACCTGGCCACCACCAGAGCCCCTGCTGCCACCAGAGACAGCAGGAGGACCCTGTGGGAAGCATAAGGAAGGAAAGAGACATTGACCTAGGCTATGTGCTCAGCCAACCACACTGGACGCTGAAATTGCCTCGGCCCTCGCCAAGCCTGCAGTGTGGTGAGATACCACAATGAGGTCAAATTACTCCCTGACAAGGAAGTAAATGACAGGGTTACATCTGAAAATGGTCCTGTTCTGCTCCCCACTCGGTCTTTTTTTAAAGATTTATTTATTTATGCATACAGAACTGGGGTACAGGCTAGAGATGCAGGGGCGGTGAGAGGATTCCCCAGAGAGAGTGGGGAGCAGAACAGGCGGATCTATGAAGTACACTGCTGAGGGGAGCAGCAGGTGAGACAGGAGAGGTCTGCTGTGCCATGTGGGTCACCTCCCTGGCTGGGGATCGAACTCTTGCTGAAGCGGCTGCAGCTAGCTTCTCAGTGCTGTGCTTTAACCCACTGTGCCACCAGGGAGGGCCCCCCACTCAGTCTTTGGTGAATCCTCTCACCACTCCCCACCCCCACACCTCTGGCCTATACCCTAGTTCTTGTATGTATAAATAAATAAATAAATCTTTAAAAATAAATAAATACACTTAGACAGGAAGGGACAAAAAGAAAACCCAGGGAGGACCAAAATTTAGGAAATAATGAAGTATAGGAGGAGGCTGTTAGCATATGGAACAGAGAGAGTACGAACAGGCCCATGGCTGGGAGGGAGGACATACAGATTTGAGTGAAAGATACCAACCGCTCTGGGGCTCACTGGGCTCCCAAAGAAAGAACCCCCAAAGTACAAATGTGAGCTCTGATACGCAATGTGATTATGCAGCTCCTTCTGTGTAGAAATGGAACCCAAAGCTCAGAGGCGCTAAGTACCAGGATCTTACAGTCAGCCGCGCCCTGGCCCTGTCTCCAGCGGCGCAGCCCACCTGGGACCAGTCCTCCTCATCTCTGCTGCTCCCTCCTCCACTGCTGTCTCCACCACTGCTATTGGCCCCCCCAGTCTGAAGCTGCGCCAGCTCCCACCGCAGCTGCTCCAGCAGAAGCATGTGGGCAGGCCCCTGGGCTCTGAGGGCAGCCTCCCGGAGCTCCAGGCCCCTCTTCTCACGCCGCACCAGCTGCAGCTGCAGCGTCAAGTCTGCGAGGGTCTCCTGAGAGAGCAAAGAGAAAGCAGAGTTTATGCCTCTAGGAGGTGGGGAAACTGAGGTCCCAGGGAAAATGATGGCTGGTCAAGCAAGAACGCGAACCCTCACCATGATCTTGCGCCACAGGAAATATCACCTTCACATAAAAACTATGACTGTACAAACGGCAGCTCAGAGACGAGTATCTTAGGCAAAGTCAAGCAGCAGCTCAATGGAAGTGTCTGAACCTCAGGTCTTTCTTGCAGACTAGAGCCCCCAGAGCATGTTCTGGTTGAGGTGTTGGTGGTAAGCAGTGAGCATAGCTACCCTCCAGAACATGTTCTGGGCTCTCATCTTTTTTCTTTTTCTTTTCTTTTTTTAAATTTATTTATGTAGACATACAGAACTGGGGTACAGATCAGAGGTGCAGGGGTGGTGAGAGGCTTCACCAGAGACAGAGTGGGGAGCAGAACAGGCAAATCGACGAAGTACACTGCTGAGGGGAGCGGCGGGTGGGTCAGGAGAGGTCTGCC